GAAGTGTGATACACTCTTCACTTCACATGCTTATCACATCATAGTATAGAAGAATGTGAAAAAATATTTCTCATTCTTCCAAAGCTCGCTGATAGTAGTATAAATTTTTTCGAACTTTCGGTGTTGCGGTGCTCTCGATTAAAATACTCGCTACACGTGTCGGAATTATTCCTCGTGGTCCGAAATGGATTGGACGACCGAGATTAATAGAATTTAATCGCCCAGCCAACGAAGTTTTGACAAAAGCACTTCGCTCAAAGGATCTATCGAGGCCATGGTTTTTGTTTGATCGGCAAATATCACTGTGATCATGGGAGATATTAACGACAAGAAGATACGGTGAAGATGCCAGGGAGAACACCTGTCACGATTAGCTGGCGCCGCGTGGCCTGCGACCCAAAACCGTCCCATCCATCTGACCGCTGACATCCTGCCATGTTGGCGCCGGTTCCTCCAGCGTGGATTTTGTGGGCTCGCCCTTTTCCCCCCTTTTTTCCAGAGGTCCACGGCTATGGCGGCGTGTAGCCCAGAACCCTAATTCTTGTCTTGGAGCAAGAAGGGGGGGTATTTAAGCCGCGATCCGCCGTGCTGCCGCCGCGATTCACATTGTCGAGCATTCCAGTCCGGCGCCGCGATGGATTAAGCAGCAAGCACAGGTTAGCTTAGCCTCTAAGAAATTCTCTCGCGTTCTCTTGGATTTTGATCTAATGGGGTTTTCTTTCTTGATCCAAAGCGAGGAGGGAATTGGAATCTTCGCAGGAACTGGCAACAGGTGGTTCATTGGTTTGAAAGAGCTAGCTCGGAGCGAAGAATTTGGTAAGTCATTAAATGCGTGCCTCATCCTTATGCTTTCCATGTTTGAACTGCGAATTTGGCCGAGTGTGGTCAGTCCATCCATCCCGTCTGGCCTCTTTGCTTTGGATCTAGAGCGAAAAACTCGTGTGTTTGGTTTGATCTCTTGGTTTTCTTGCTTTGATCTGTTGCTTTTCTTTTCTCCTGTGAGTGGAAGATGGGACTGGTTTGTCTCAAAGTCGGTCCTTGCTTCCAGCTTGAGTGGTTATGGAAGCCAGGAAAGAAAGAAAAAAACGCGAATTGCTATACTAGCACAGCTTTTATGGAAGCATTGAATGCTATTTGAACTGAAAGCACCACACCACTTTTGCTGGGCTTGGTCTGTCCCCCCCTTCTTGCATCATATTCCAATCCGTCTATCTCTTTCGATGGCTGGATGCGGCTCAGAAGTTCGATCGAAGAGTGGTTACCCAGTTGCTGTGATGCATCCGCTCCTGTTTTTCGGTCGAGCAGCCAAATCGTCCCTGGGTTCCCTTCCTTTTTGGCTTTTGAGTTTGGCTTGGCTGTAGTTCTTGTCTGGCCTTTACTGTTTGTTCGGCATTATGTTCCTCTACGTTTGTCATGTTGCAACTCGTAAGTGCATTTGCGTTGCGATTGATAGGTGCCTTGTTGGGATGTGCAGACGCTTCTGGCAGGATAAGCAGGATTCCTTCCGACAGCAACTGAAAACACAGCCTCGCAAGACCTCCCCGAGTTGATGAACCCCGTCGAGAGATCCAACTCCAACACCGCCACCACCAGCAGTAGCGGGAACTTTGTGTGGCTCCCTTCACTTCAAGTTTGGAGCTTTCGCCCCGCCGAGACGTCTATCAGCTCACAGCACGGTGGAGCCATCATGCCTGGGCTTGCACGGGCTTGTTCACAGCAGCATCAGCAGCACGAGATAACGTTCGAGCTGAGGCAACCTTCTCGGTTGCCAATGCATCGCGAGGACGAGGAAAAGGGGGCCGAGGCAGAGCACGTCTGTCCGATCTGTCTCGGGGCGATTGAGGAGTCGAAGAACGCGTCGCTGTGGTGGTGCATGCACAGCTTCTGCGTCGGCTGCATCGAGGAGTGGAGCAAAGTTCGCAGGTCGTGCCCGCTTTGCAAGGCCGAGTTCACAGGTTGGTACCACACCATCAAGGGGCAGAAGCGGGTCGAGAGGATTTTGCCGCCGCTCGACTACAGGCCTTCTTTGGACTACAGGCTCTCCACAGCCGAGGATTACAGGTTGTCCTTGAGCGACTTTCGAATTTCTACATCGGACTATCGGCTGTCCACGGATGGGAGGCCCTCCAGCGTGCTTCCCGAGAGGCGGACGAGCACGAGTAGGAACCAAGCAAGGCTGGAGAGGTAAGAAAACTTTTTTTTTCCAGAGTTTGGCGTGACTTTAGCTACACTAGACTTCTTTCTCTTGTTTCCAGAGAAGTTGTCAGGAGCACTATGACATTTCGATCCAGATTGCGGTTGCAACAACTCATGCAGTCGAGGGTCAGCAGATCGTACCGGAGATCAATCCCTTTGCCCCGGCAAAGATGTTTCATATCCCCCGCTGAGAGGGAGAGGCTCACTGCTGAAGTTCTTACAGAAAGAGCTCTTTCGTGGCGTACAAGGTCTGTTTGTGTGGGTGTGTGTTTTTCTTCTTTTTTTTTGTTCTTGGTTGACACTTTCCGCGTGTTGCTTGCAGCATATACAGGAAGGGTCTTCGAGCCGTTCCGTTGAATGTGAAGAAGCGTATGGAAGTAAGTTTCGTGTGTGACTGGCTTTGAAACTTTCTCTCAGGACAGTTTGTTGACTCGTTGGTGTTTCTATTCGCAGTTAAGGCCGTATGATCTCGACGCAAAGACGAGAGCCGAGCGTCGTTTGAGACCCTGGATCACACGAGAGCTGAAAGCCATCCTGGGGGACACAGATCACTCCGTGTTAGAGCAACTGGTTCTCAGCCACTGGTTTTCTTACAGAATCGACGCGATAGAAGGGTCGGATGATCCTCCCGAAGGTCCGAGGAAGAGCTCGAGCCAGAGCTCGTCCGAGGCCGTTTCGCAGCTCGAGAGGTTTCTCGGTAGCAACGCATCCACGTTTTGGCACGAGTTGAGGTAAGTTTGTCTGGTTTCGCGAGTTCTTACAAGCTGGAAGTTATTTTATGTTTCGCAGATGCTATGCCGAGTGTCCATACACGATGGAAACTTATGACAGCATCGTGGTGTACGTTAAAGGCGAGCGTCAGCTATTGTAGAAGCGACTGGATAGCTAGGAGATTGTTTAACAGGATTCACAGACAGCTCGCAAGCAACCTGTAAAAAAAAAGAAGCCATTTTCCTTGTACCATGAATGACTTTGAAAAGAGATTGATTTGCTTTCCTGGAACAGCAGGAGGGAGATAAAGGAAAAAGGAGACAAAAGCTTCCCTTCTGTGGCGATGGAATCAATCGTCTTCCGAGTCTGACTTGTCCTGCTCGTGTCTAGAAATAATTTTCTCGATAAAGTCCCTCCGGACCTTTTGCTGGATGGCCTCCGAGCTGCTGCCTTCTCCAAGAACAGGCCCAACTTGGCACAGGGTGAAAGCAACGTCTGCAAAACTCGGTCTTAGCAACAACGAAAGATTGCTGAGAGAAAACTAAGCAAGAGGATGGAAATCTAACCTTCGGGTGTGCAACGCTTGCCACCAAAGTGATGCAATCCAACCAGCGTCGCCTTCACGTTGGTATTGTTGTAAACAAGCACTGTCGGTAAGTTGAAGTCGGGGTAGTTGTTTATGCAATCCGTGGAGATGATCTTCACGAACTTCGTGGCGGGATATTTTTTCGCGAGCTCTTCCAAGCATTGGCCCAAGAGCTGGCACTCGGGAACACTGCAGGACAAAGAACAAGGATTTCTTGCAAGAAACCTCGAGAAACTGTCATTACCCGTCTTTGTAGAGATGCACGACGACCCACACGTCCGGAGGAGCACGAGAAACCTCTCGGATGAAGTCCGAGCCAGTGATGTGGATCAAGGAACCGAATTTCGCGCTCTTGGAAACCTCGCTAAGCTCCAGCAATCTCTTCTTCCTGTGAGAAGAAATTTCCAAGTCCTGAGCAATGTAATAGATCAAAAAACTATATAAATGCTCGGCTAAACAATCCCTTACCACTCACCGGTATTCCTCGAGAAATCTGGAATCCTCGTCGAGATCCAGATCGTCCTGGAGCTCCTGGAGCTCCTCCTCGCTCTTGGAATCGATCCACTGCTTGCTCTTACCGGGATCGGGCGCTGGCTGCCATGGCGCTGGCTTCTCCACGGGCGGCTTGGGCGGGAGATTGCCGAGCTTCCTTTGGATGTCGTCCCATTCGGTGCTAGGGCCTTGCGGGTCCTTGAAGACAAAGTGATAGTCCGCCATAGCCAGAAACCCTAGAAAGAGCCCTTGCGAAAGAGATACTCTCGCATCGAGAGAATGTAGGCTCTAGCTTGCCTCTCAAGTCTTCGCCTCTATAGCTCAGTGGTAGAGCGTCAGTCTTGTAAACTGAAGGCCCAGAGTTCGATACTCTGTGGAGGCATGCATGAAAATGGTGCCATCTTTTTTGATAGTTGAAACGGAGATCTTTTATTATATTTCATTGATGCAAACCTTTCGGCCCTTATTTGATTCCTTAACATAGCGCCAATCAGAGGGGAGTACTTGACCAGCCTCAAGACCATCGTTGACCAACCAGCGCATGGACAAATCGCTTCTCCCCGTTTGATTGGGAGTACTTGACCAACCTCAAGACCATGGTTGACCACGAACAGCGCATGGACGAATCGCTTCTCCCCGTTCCAATCAAACGCCTGGATCAAACCATACTCATCCGATGGTAGTTCCCTATACCGCGTTTTTATAATGTCTTAGTGGAGAGCACCGTTGACCACGGTAGAATGATCCTCACAGTTCACATTGTATTTCTTGGAGCAAAGTTTGCATCTTTTCTTATAGGCCGATGATCAAGGCATCGGCAGATGAAGCAGTCTGTCTTTGACTAGTCTGCTCCAATGAGAAGCTCACAAGAGAATGAATTAGCCAACTTGTTGTAGAACCTTCCATCGGCGTCACAACTTTTATGAGAGAAAATAATAAAAATTATGAAGGTGAAAACGTCTTCGCCACCAGGGCATTTGCAAGCAAACAAATGAGGAAGAATGGAAAGTTACATCTATAGCCTGTATCCCAATTCGCACTCGCATCGCTGGATGTTGTCCAGCATGAATTGCTGATCCGGGTACGTGTGGTAGCACGGCTCCATCGACTCCCTCACCGAGCAGCCGGCCCCCGAGCACGCAAACTGGACGGGCCGCACGCCCGCCAGCCCCACCGCCGAGTATCCAAAAGTTGATGGCGGGCTCGTCACCAACACGTCGCTCATTGACAACAGATAGATCTCCATCACTGCCTTTGCATCGTGATCCAGGTTCCCGGTGTTTTGCACCCCTTCCACGCTTGGCTGGTGGATCGAAACCGACGAACCATCTTCCAGATCGTAGCCCAGCACCTTGTTCTTGAGCGTCTGCGAGTACTGCGCATCCAGCGACAGCACAAGCACCGCCACCTTCTTGCTCTTCCTCGGCGACGATCTGGGAGCTCGCGCTTGGGTGATGTTCGCGAGCGCGCCTTGTTGCACCAGGCAGTCGAAGGCATCGTTGGCGAGGTCGGATGGCGCGAACCAGCTGCTAGTTCGCAGCTGGACCCCGACTAGAAGCTCGGCTTGGGCCAGGTACGCATCATAGTATCTGGCCGTCCTGTCCCACACCACGTCCCTGGGATGCAAGAGGTACCTCACCAGGAGATGAAAGATGGCCTCCTCCTGTGGAAACCATTCCTCGAGCTTGCTCCTGAAAACCGGGACGTTGTAGAGCGCCGGAGCAAAGTACTGGTCGGACGAGAGAACGATCCACTTCGAGCTGGACTGGAGCGCTTGCTGGTGTTCTTTGCAGAAGAAGGCCTTGTCCTCGTCCCTGTAGTTGCTCACGAGATAGGCCACCACCACCTCGGGGAAATTTACACCGTGGCTGCAGTTGAGAGATCCCACCAAGCTTCCGATCCACTTCGAGCCGTCAAACGGCGCCCCCTCGAGGTGCTTCCAGCTCGGCGGCACCAGCCAGGAGCTGAATGGAAACGGCTCGCAGAAGAGCGTGGCCAAGTTCTCCAATCCGGCGATCACCATTGTCCTGTCCGTGAGCAGCCCGTAGAGAAAAGTTGCCACCAGAGCTATCATCTTGTTGCCCATCCCCTGGCCGGCGGTGACGTAGAGGAGATAGTTGCATGTACAGTTCGAGCACTGCTCAGGGCCCGGATAGCACCTCGCGTGTAAGGCCTCGTACTCGAGGATTTTGCGGTGGAGTGACTCGGATGGCTTGAAGCTTGTCGATCGTTGGCGGCTGTAGGAAGCGTACTCGATCCTGCTTCTGCAAGTGTCGCTGACGTTGTAGTTGTTGGTGATGCGAAAAATTGATCCCAGAGTTCGGCTCCGGGACAACTCTGCGGAGCCGGAAAAATTGTCGAAAATCCATAAGAGCACCGCCGCGGAGAAGAGGAACACGACGAACAGCAAGCTGGGGCTGTAGTTTCTCATTTCTGATCCTGGAATTCTTCGAGTTCGTTGCCTACCAAACTTTAAGGCCGCGAATGAAAAGATATTTCTACTCCGTTGGTGATTACCATCCCTCTTCAGACCACCATACCTGGAAGAAAATCTATCTCTCATTTTCATTGCCTGTGAGACCGAAATGTATGATCTATCGCAAATCTGGACAAACGATGGAATACAAGCGGAGCCAGCTATAGTCGCGAAGAAGAAAAACGAACCATCAGCAAAGCTGCTAGTACCAGATCACAACTCTATACCATCAAGTGATGTACGTGATCGAAGATGGCTACTTTGAGGCTGAAGTGGAGAAGTGGACTCCAGCCGCGATCTGGGAGGCACTGGCAAAGGATTTGATTGAGGGTTGTGGGGTTGGCAACGTTACCAAGGACACTCTTCGGGACCCGATTACTCTCGACAAGGTGAGGGATAGAATGAGCGAGAGAGGAGTGCTCCCAGAAGTCTACTTGGACGGTTATTATCAGTAGAAAATCTCCAACCCTTGTGTGCTAGAAAATCTCTTGTTGTCTCCTAGAAGATCTCTTGTTGTGTTTTACCATCCGGAGCCAACAAGATTTCTCCTTTAGATTTCCAGGTTGGTAATCACCAACCAAGGAGAAATTCTTCGTTCATTCGCTTTGAAGTTTGTGTAGCTCCAAGTTTCCAGGGCCCAAGCTTGCTGTTCGTCGTGCTCCTTTTGTGCCATGGTTGGAGCACCAAGACTGGCTGTGAGAACCATGGTGAGGATTTTCTAAAAGTTCCTCCATCTACAGTCCTAGACAAATGCCGATTGTTAACAAGCACTCCAGGCCTCAGGTGCCTCTCACAGACATTTCTTCCAGACCACTAAACGTTTGCTCAATGGTAAACCAATATTGAAGTTCCACTTTCTGCAAATGCAACAACTAATGGCGAAATTCTTTCTACCTGCGGCCCAGTAGGCTGATATACCTTCTCTCGAGATCCTCAGAGGTAGAGGCTCACGAGCTCAGCGCTATGAGAATACCTGCCAATGTTCTCGGTTAGTGTTAGTGCTCACTCTTAAGTTGATGAGCTTTTTACCTCTTTGTATCCCTCCACATAAGGTCGTAGACGATCTTTTTGAGCCGGCCTGTTGATAGCCTGCGAACCCCCCATGCCGAATAGAGCTGATGCCTCTCACTCCTGCTCGCATAGGCGCCTATGTTGATGTAAATCTTATCTCTTTGCTGCTGTATAAGCTCCTTTGCAGCCCTTCGAGACTTAGCACTCTTGTCGATGTTCTGCAACGCGTGGATCTCCCAGGCGATGCACGGTGCCTCTTTTGTAGAAAGCTGGAAGAAAAGAAGCATCATTTCTGTAGTGCCTGGTGTATACGGGATTCACATACCTCAGATGAAGAGCTGCTCGCAGTGAGCATCTTAAACCTCAAGGAACGGGTCAGTAGATCGACGTCTTGCTCCTCCCACACTGCACAGAGCCTCTTCAAGGACGATGTCAAGCGATTGTCGCTAGAGTGGCAAGTGCATCCGGCGCCAAAACTAGAGTTGCCTGTCCGGGACTCCTCCGTTCTTATGCTTGCAGCTGGAGGTGGCACTGGCATTGGTTCCGAGGAATCTAGTGACTCTTCCAGACCTCCAACTTTGTGACAAAGCTTCTCCAGCAGGATGTTCTCGCAGGAGAACAAGGCCTTGACGTACTCTATCGAAGCCGACGGGTCTGGTATCTCAAGTAGAAAGTCCGCAAGACTTAGCTTCGCAGTGTGCTTGGCGAGTTCGTCTTCTTCTTGCTCCGTCTGCCGCGGTGGAGTGGCCGCCTGTGGCAAGTCAAGCAAGTCCGCCAGCTCGGACATCAATTTCTTCTCCGCACCCGAGGAAAGAGAGGACTCCGGTCTTTCCAGCTGCTCAAGCAGCGTAAAAGTTGCATCAAAATCAAGCGAGGCAGAGGTTTTGCGCTTTGGAGTGGAAATCGCAGTCTCAGCACCAGTCCCAGGAACGTTCTCAGCAGCGACTTGCATAGCTCGGCTGTCTGGATTCATAACCGGCGTCGCGTAGTCAGCCTGCTCTGGAACTGGAGGGAACTCAAAGCTTTCATCGTTTCTTCTGTCGACACACTCCGACAGGTCCAGTGGCAGTAGCCGAGCCAACTCCGTAAGAATCTCCTCCTCCTTTTGTTCTGATAACTCAGAAGAATAGAGAATGTCGAGGTTGCGAGCGCTGGAACTACGACATTCTACAGCTTCTTCGTGAAGATCTTGCAGCCTGTCGACTCCTCCTTCCTTCTTCTTGACGGATGGCGTAGCGAAACCTTTCTCATCGTCGCTGGAACTTTGCTTCAAAGGTTGGTTCTCCGAGTCTAGTTCGACTGCAGACTCGGAACTCAAGAAGCTATATTCCAGTCCCAAACGTTGAATGCTCAGATCGTCTATGAGCCTCCCCGGCTCGTGGCGGGAAGAGCAAACGTTTAATGCTGTGGAAGAAATGTCCGTGAAAGGGAGCCTTCGTACTTGAAGCCTGGGGTGCTTGTTAACAATCGGCAATCGTCTTTCTGCAGCTAGGACTTTCAAACCTGTAGATGGAGAAACATTTAGAAAATCCTTGGCAAAGAGAGATGAAGGGGAGCCTCACCGTGCTTCAGCTTGCATTCTATTCGTTTGTCCAGATTCGTAAACTTGGAAGTTGATGGATAGATCTTACATTCGGGTCTCGCAGGCGACGGAAAGGGAGAGACGTGCCTGTGATTCTCTTCCAGGTACCTGCACACCTTGCTCCAGTAATACGTTGTCTTCTCTCTCTGAGGACCTTGAGGACCACCTACAGTCTCAAAGAGGAAAAACGAACCATCAGCAAAGCTGCTAGATTCCATCCATCACACCACTTCGTACCATTGTGAATCTTAGCTAGAATTTCCCAGTCATGTTGTGTTAGAGCTTCCGAGCAGTACCTCATCCAATATGCCACCACTGTGTTCTCCGCGTGCTCTAAATCTCTGGACTAACTAGTGTAAGAAACCAACGAAGAAGCATAGAGAACGAAGAAAGAGAAGAAGAAACATACCGGCAGCGTAGCCAGGATGCTCGCTTGTTCTTCCAGGCATCGACATGGTAGTGCTCGGAGATCTGGAGAGGCCCAATGCTGGCACCACCGTCTCCATCGGGACAATCCACCCTATTGCTCGACTCCACAAACCTGATAGCATCAAGGAGGGGACGAAGCTGTGCTCGATAAGCTCGCATCGCGTCCTCCACACTGCCCTGCCGCTTCTTCTTCCGTGACATTGTGACACTCTTGCGGACATAGCTCGCCTGCTGCTGCTGCTGCTGATGCCTTGCCCGTCTCTTCTTCTTCTGCGATGACGACGGCCTGGCCGGCAGCGCGAGCCCATTCTCGGAGAATCGAGACACGCCCGGCATGGAGAGAAGCTGTGGCGTGCAAGAAATATGAATTTTAACCTAACACGCCCAACGGTCAACATCCAGCCCTAAAATCTAGCCTAAATTTCAAGTCAGAACGAAATAATCGCCACCGTCGGTTCTTTGACCCATCTGAGCCCTTGAATTCCTGTATAAGAAGGGGAGAAGTGGACTCCAGCCGCGATCGAGGAGGCAATGCAGAAGGGAATGATCATGGCTTATGGGACTCCCAATGTTACCCAGGACGATCCTGTGGACCCGTTTACCACTCACAAGGTGAAAGAGAGGATGATCGAAAGAAGGAGCTCCCAGCAGACTTCTATGTAACAAATAAAAATCTGTCTGATTACCGATTGATTCAACTCTTGGTTCTTGTGTGCGTGGCTCCGAAAGTGGTGCACTTTGAGCCTGTCTGTTGTCTGCCTCTCTAGGCTTTCCCTGCAAACCAGCTTGCACACTTCCATTGGCAAATAAGTTCCCTCTTGTTGGCTCCCCCATTAGAACTTGGCAAATTCGTGGGAGGAGAATTCGCAAGCCTCAACCGATAAGGCTAGTTCTTTTATGGAGAAATGCCAAACGTTTGAGGATTGCATCATCTGGGCGAGGAAAAGATGTTTTATTTTCGTTTATAAACACCACCTTACTGTTTTGTGTCATTCTTTCCAGGTTCGAGGACTACTTTGTGAACAGAGTCGAGCAGCGTTCCCAGGGGACTCAAACCACAAGCTTCTATCTTTCATAGCATCGGGGCTGAAATGTCGTAGCATCCGCAGGCCCGTGTGGGTGTGCTCAACCCGAAGCAACTTTGTCGACAAGATCAAGCTCCCAGATTTCAAACCCAAGCAGGGGGTGAAGATTATCACCTCTAGTGTACCGTATCTGTGCCTCGCAGGCTTTACGCAACCAAGCTTGGAGAATGAGCATGATCCCGCTGGAAAGCACCTCAGAATGCTGCACGTCCATCTCAAGGCAAGGAAGTGGATCTAAGCCGAGAACAGTCTCTGAATGAGAACGTTGCAGAGCTCCTTGATAGCTGGAAAGAAAATACTCCAGGGTGTTGGTTCCAGGTAACTTCTAAAAGCCCATGCAACCAAAGGAGTCCGACACCTGTGAAGAACTTGAGCGACCATTGTTGGGTTCACAGGGCAAGGAATGCCACTTTGCCAGCCTTGGAGCAGCGATGAGCAACTGTTTGGAATTTGATCACGACTTGGTGCCTTCCTAATGGAGATGGAAATTGCTGGCAATGAGGTTGATGCACCACCATTGTCGTTGTTGTTGTCAGTGTCAGATTAAATCGAGGATCCTGTGCCAGAGTTGATCACCCTGGAATGTAAAAGATGTTAAGAAACTTGATTGAGGCAAGCGACATAACAATACCTTGCACAATCCTCCCCCAGGAGCTCGGCACTGTTGCATAGCAGCCCCATGAATGCGAGTCCCAGGAGCTCTTGAATGCAAGTCGGAGTCGACCATGGAAGGTGAAGAGTTGATCACCTGAGAGGACCCAGCGGTCTTGGAGGAGGAAGGGTACCAGTGCTCGTTGCTGCGAAGGAGGTTGGAGGCAAAAGTGGTGTGAAGTGGTGACGGTGCAGGTGCTAGTCTGGCTGCTGCAAATGGAGGCTCTCTCCAAATCTCGGAAAAAAAAACCAGAGAGGTTTAAAAAATAAAAACAAGAATCCACTTCCTCCATAGCTTTTAAAAGTGTAGAGATAATAGTTCTTTTGTGAATCTAATTAAACAGTCAAAATTAAAAAATAATTTGTTTTACTTGTCATTTCCAGAGATTTAAAATTTTCACCCTTTGAATTTAATGTGTTTTTTCTTTTTTTCTTTTATCCTTAATTTTTTAGTTAGCAACCTTCTTTTTTTTAAAGGGATACCATGGACAAATTAATTTATTTTTGCAGCAATTCATAAATTATGCCTTACAAACTATTTTTAAATATTTTAATTTTAATGCTAGCATTAGGATTTTAGGGGAAAATGTTAGCCTAATTTAATAGTAAATTTTTATATAAATAATTTATTATTAAATTAAATTATTAAATTAAAGTCTACAAAGGTGGTGTGAATAGTTTACCATTAAATTAATTAGTTCTAAGGATTTTACTCCATATGTTGGATTTTGGATTCTGAAGTAATAATTAAAAGACATTTTTTAAATTTTAATTTTTTAAAAACTATTTATGGTTACTTTTTTTATATAGTGTTTCTCACTATAACTTTATCACATTACACAATAGATAATACATTTTTTTTTATGCTGATTGAGAATTTTAAAGGAAAATAAAGAGATTTATCACTATGGTTTCAAAATTTTCAAAATGAAATTAAACTTTCTTGTGGTTAGAATAGATATGGATATATATATATATTTTTTCCAAACAATTGTTTTTTATTCTATAGGAAATTTATAAAAATGTAATATTACTTAATTTTGGTATTAAACATTAAAAATATATTTAAAATAGTTACTTGTGCCAAAGAAATGATATTAAAAGATGGTTTTGAGATTAACATGGTTGTTCTAACCTTTAATCGAAGTAAATATTTTATTATTATTTTAAATGTTAATTTTTTTCATTTAAAGATTAGATATTTATAAAATCTATGTGGTTTGAGAATTAATATGAATTAAGTGTGAATGTGAATAAATTAAACTAACTAATTTAATGGGTATATGAACTATTTATCATTAGTTTAAGTGTTTTAGCAAAAATAATTAAATGGGATTGCTTGATGTATGATTCCCAATCCCCGTTAATGAGCATAACTTAATAACTGTAAAAGTAAATTTCACAGCAGTGATGAATGATTTTTATTCACTAACATTTTATACATTATGTAAATTCCTAGCATGAGCTCCCTCAAATGAAACATTAACTAATATTGATGTAAGAAAATACTTTCTTTAAGTATTTAAATTTGTATATAAAAAGATTATATAATAACTTTATTTAATTTTTAATTTTTATATATGTTACTTTAAATCTAAATTCACTATTATTGATAGCTATAAAACTCTTAAACAAAGTTTTATAACTATCAATAATAGTGAATTTAGGGGGATGTCTTTCCCTGTGGGGACGACGTCTTGGCAGCACTTGGAGCTTCCTGCTTGATCGCCATGGGACTGGAGAGCTTCTCCACGGATGCTGCCGAGGACAGTGTGTCCATGACTCGGTTGTAGTCCACGACTGAGCCTGGGGAGCCGCCGACCTCGACCTGGATCGTGGGAGTCTGTGGTGCCATCGTCTTGTAGCCCTCGTCTTGTAGCATTGGGAGATAAGATCCTAGACCTGGAAACTTCTTGTGCTGATACTGAAACCGGCTGCCATCCTTGATGTTCTTCGAGTCTTGCAAATAGACAGGAGGACCACCGCGTGAGAAGCCCTGGCACTGTTGCTGCTGTTCCCAAGCATTCGACTTTGGCACCTTGGCTGGCCACTCGTAGCAAAGGTAGTCGTCCACAGTGATATTGGACCTCTGGCGAACACCAACCTGGGCTCGAGCGAGAGACTCCCCAACTTTGTACTCGATTCCTCCAAACTTGTTGTTGCCACCACCACTTTGCCATCCCATTAGAGCGGCCAGATGCTCCGAGGCTAGAGCCAAGAGAGTCACAAGGTGAGGATTTTCCATGCCCTATAGCAAAACCAAGAAATCCATGAGCAAAGAAGAGAAAATCTGGCTGTCATGGGTGTGGAAAGTTTACAGCGACATGCAACCTCGAGAGATGCTTGAGCTCCTTGTTATGGAGAAATGCCAAACGTTCGAGGATTGCATCGTCTGGGTGAGGAAAAGGAGTTTTATTTTTGTTTATAAACACCACCTTACTGTTTTGTGTCATGCTTTTCTGGTTTGAGGACTACTTTGTGAACAGAGTCAAGCAGCTTTCCCAGGGGACTCAACCACAAGCTTCTATCTTTCGTAGCATCAGGGCTGAAATACCGTAGCATCTGTAGGCCCGTGTGGGTGTGCTCAACCCGAAGCACAAGATCAAGCTCCCAGAGTTCAAACCCAAGCAAGGGGTGAAGATTATCACTGATGAGAAGGCCACCAACCTGACTGCTTCTAGCTTGGACAATGCTGCCGACATCTGATTTAAGTCACTGCCAACGGGAGAAGGTGAGAATTTTCTCTTTCGTTTTTTTTACAGGGCTGATAGCAGGGCTCTCAGACATGCGAGTGTATGAGATCCCCGATGTGGACAAGCCGGGAAGATCATTCCAGCCATCGCGATGATGGAACAAGGTTTTCCAAGGCAAGACGTTCACCAACTTGGCACTGCCTCTCTTCCCAATGGCCGAGCCGGTTCCTCCCAACCACGTCAAGGGGACCTCTCCTGGAGGGATTGACAGCCTACAGCATCTCATGTGGCCAAAGCCTGCTCTACAACAGCTTGTTCTAGAGTAGCTCACGGAGCCAAGGCACTGGAAGATCCACCTGTGGATGGATTCAGGTACGCTGGACAAGCCTAATCTCCTTGTGGACATGTATGGCAAATGCGGCAGCTCTGCAGCACAAGGAGTGCATGTCAGAGCTCGCAAAGGTGGCAAAGCTGGTCCTATGGGCTAGAGGTGATTGTGACCAAAATTACTTAGAAGAATGTCTCTCTCAATGGTATTTTGAATGCTGGTATTTATAGAGCAGATCAGAAACATTCCACTCACCTAATTTATTCATTATAGATGCATTGTCTCTCTTGAGTAGGGAGAAAGAAGGCGGCAGTGGCACACCACCATTAGCATCAATGGTGTGACAAAGAGCTAGAATGAGAGCAAAGAATGAACAGGATCTTTCAGAAGGAAATTGGAAACAACTATTTATAGAAAGAAGAAAGAAACATTAGCTATATATTATTATATCCAGGAATTTCTCTTGAAATTTGCCATTGAATGTGGCTTTTGATCTCCATGATTCAAGGTGCCTATCACACCTTAGATTTTGGCTCTGACACTCCTTCTAAAGCCAAGGGTGTGATTATTGTTGCTATGCCCATAATGGAATTCCTATGTTCTATAAATAAAATTTT